AGTCTAGGGCTGCAAAGTGATGTGTTCTGGGCACCTTAATTGGAAATAGGTGACAAAGCCAACATATTTTTGAGGAATACTGTATCTTCTCTGTGCTTCATCTGTCTCATCACTGAAATTGTAGATACAATTGTAGATTGTGATGGTATTTTGGAACATACAGGGTGTGGTTTTGTTGCCTCCGGTGACAACCTTGATGAAAAAGCAAATAGTAAGGGAATAGGTAGAGTATTTAACTTTTGTCTTTTTGCTTTCTGACTCCAGCTGCAGTTTTCTTTATTGTAAAAAATACAGAAAAAACATTTTGCTACATGAATTTCTTTAAATAGAAGAGAATAATGTAATATTCTAGATATGTAAAAGTTATTTTTGTATGTGTTTCCTGGTATGAGTTCTCACAGTTCCAAAGTACAAGTAGTTCAGATACATAAGGGTGGTATATGGATTCCTAATAGACTGAATGAATAGAATAGTCTTTGCATCGTTTACTGTTCTCTGGCCTTAAATTTCTTCAAAATGTACCTTTAGGCAGCTACAGTGAGAATAAAGAAACTGGAAGAAAACATTGAAGCAGAGAGAGCGGCGCATTTGGAATCCAAATTCAATTCAGAAATCATCCAGGTAAACTTTTTGCTAAATGTTTTATAGAAGGTTACAGTAAACCAGTTGATAAAGTTGTAAAGATACAATCTTCCAAAAATGTTAAGACCACTTGCTTGCTTCAGTGAAAACACTGAATAGTTTTTCTGCAACAAGTGTCAGAATTGATAATAGCTAATATATAAAAGGAGAGAATTTAGGGAACATTGAAGTTATTAGAACAAATAATAAAATGAAATGTCACATTTGTATGTTTGAGAATTCCCACTAGCATTTAAACAGTGAGGGGAAAGGAAATGTTTCACAATAGTTAAACACTGTGCAACTCTTTAAATATCCTGCCCTGTATCTTTTGAATGGACATTTAGAGCTATTTGGAGATAAGTGCATACATCCAGCTTCTCTAGGAGTGAGAGCTTAATGCATCCTGAAACTGCAGTTCCAAATGTAATTGTTCAGAGTACATTTCAGCTTCAAACAAAGTTATGATACCTGCAGTTACCAGTAAAGATTAATTATAAGAAAAAATGTAGTATATATACTTGAATATTAAATCTTTGTATTATTAAACTGTATCACATGGGGTTTGACCCAGTAAGGCAATTATGGTTTATTTTAAACAGCAAGTGAGAAAAGGCTAAATGATGACTGCCTAGTAATCTCATATTAACTAACAAGCCGGTCATACTGGATGTTTGAAAAACTAAGTAAAAAAAAAAGAATTTTGGGGTTGTTTTTTTTTTCTATTTTCTGAGTGACAAAAATAAGTACTGCCATTCTTCAGTCATTTTTTATTTCAGTTATTTTTTTATTCTCATGATCTTCTCTATGTACAGGCACTTAAATTTTTTAAAGCAACGATTAAACTAGTGGAAAGGAAAGATTAAGTTTTCTAATTTCCTCTCTCTACTTTTACAACATACAAAGGAACTGGGAGGGTAACATTCCTTAAAGTTAGAGACTTATCTTTTATGGGTGAATGACTGGTAAGGCTTTCGTCCTGTTCATATACATGAACAAGCTTCAAGTGCTGAGTGGAAGTATAGCCTTTACTGCTAATCCCACACTTTCATAAGCCTATGTAAAAAACAAAATTCCCCTGGAAAACTTTAGTAATAATTGAAAAAGGAAAAATCCAGACACCACCAAAGGAGAATAAAAAGTGCTTTTGGTCAGCGTATCTATCTGTCTCCATTTTGAACTATATGTATTCGTACATCTTTACCTGTAAAGCAGAACATAACAGAACAGCATTAAAGATCATGATAGTTTTTCCTAACTTGCTTTAATTGCTTTCTTATCACTTGGTAGTTACGAATTCGAGACCTTGAAGGAGCTTTGCAGGTGGAAAAAGCCAGCCAAGCAGAAGCTCTTTCGGATTTAGAAATGATCAAGAAAGAGTTCAAAGAGGTAGAAAATGCATATGAAAGAGAAAAACGCAATGCCCAAGAGAACTTGGAAAAGCTCAGTATGTAAGTTACCTTTTAAATTCAGTATAAAATTGCAGTAGACAGGTTGAGTACCGCTTACCATTTACATTCTCTGTTTACTGTCACTAGAAAACGAACACCTTCTGATGCAATTTGCCAAACCAAGCCAAGGTTCAGAACCTGACATTCCATTAATAACAGGTCCATATCAGTAACCATACATATTATGGGTAGGTGGGGAAAATAACTGATCTGTTACAGATTAATTGCCAAAGTAAGAATGTTGAAAATGCTAGTTACAATAGGGTCCTGTCTCCAGTAGTGTTTGGGAGGAGTGTAGGAAAACCATCTGTTACCACAGACACAGGAAATTGTGCTGAGCAGGAAAGGGATCCCAGGTAACTTCATCTGCTCTCACAAACTTCACCCCTTTTTCCACTTCTTGTTACCAAGTTAAAACTTTCCACAATTATTCAAAATAACATCAGTTAATTAAACTGTAATCTGAACCTGCCTGGTTGTTTTTGCTTTGAGCGTGAGTCCTATGGCAGCAACATGCACTAATACCAAGTTCTTTGCCTTTCCTTGAACCAGAGAAAGCCTGCAACATTGATTTGACATTTTGGTTTTTTTGTTGTTTTGTTTCAAAAAAGCTCCTTTTGTGTTCAAAACAGCCTCGTTTAGAAACATGGCTGTTGGATCAGTAGTTCTACATAACAAGCTACTTCATGCTACATGAATTGTGTACGTAACTTCTTACTCTTCCCAAGAATATATTTGGTTTGGAGTTTTTTTGTTCATTTATTGTGGTTTGTTGTTAGGTTTTTTGTTTTGTTTTCCTTTTTGGTAAGTTTCCATATTAGAGTGGTCCAGAAAATAAAGAAAATTAATGTTACAGATAAAATATTTCTCTCCCATCAGAATTAAAAGTTTTCTTGAACTAGTGTTCTTCCAGGGCTTGTTCTTTGGACTGTTTCTTCAGTCCTTCCAAGCTCTAATATTCCAATGTCCATCTTTGTATTTGAGGTTCAACCAGACAAATTCAGCATCCTCAAGTGAAACAGAGAGCGTTTTGGGGGTTTTTGCCTAATGCATGTTAAGCTGAAGTAGTTTTCAGTCCAGAAGAATTTCCCCTGTCTTGTCAACATGGCTACGATAGCATGGCTTTTTGTAATCAGTTAGGGAGCTGTTAACCTTCCCAGAATCTCCAGATACCGTTTACTCCTTCCTTCTGAAAATTTTGGGAATTTTTCTCCTGTTGTTTCTGTCCAAGCTCAAAAACTAGCCGTTGAATTGTACAAGCAGCTCATTTCTGTCCTCATATCTGTTGTTATGTCTCTTGCATTCTTAGAGAAAACAAGTGTGTATGACCTGTAGCTTTTGCTTCTGGAGTTCAAGATAATGAGATTAATGAACCACAGATACTGTCAAATGTAAGGGTGCAATCAGGCTGTCTGGGGAATTAATAGACCTGTAGAAATTACATGTATGACTTCTGAAAATACTTAACTTTTGAAATGCAGAACTGCACTGTTTTTTTATCTTTATAGCTCTTTACAAGATGAATGTGAGTCTGAACACATGTTCATGTTCAGCTTTGATGTAGTCACAAATAAAGGGTTAAAATTATAGAAGATTGCCTGTTCTGATTTTATTATTTGATGTGAAAAAAATGTGGTCATGAATTCTGCATAAATATGTTACTGTATTTTTAAAATTCAAGTGTTACACATGCACCAAAAATGTAAACCACACATTATGCAAACATACTAGGTCCTGAAAAGAGTGTTAATGCTTTACACTGGGAGCTACATATAGGTAAAACAGTTTGATTCCCAAGGTTTCTAGTATGTTTGGCATTTTAGTGCTTTTATTTGTCAGTCTTCAGTTGTTCTTTTTAACTTCTGTCACAACTGTTCTCTCAGGTACTCCCTTCTATTTTAGCAAATTGTTGTTTTCATGTTGCTACAAGATCTTTCATGCAGATTCTTTTTGGCCTCACAGAAATTTCATAAAATATGAGTTCACCTACATTTTTAGAACAATTTGGGTTGGTTGATTTCATCATACTAGACCTCATTCCCCTAAAGTGTCATGCATGTGCACTTAAGTTTCCTTAAACAAGAGCGTGTCAGAACATTTTATTCTGTATCTTAGTTTCTCAGATGAGCAAAGACGTTTTATCTCAGGAACTAGTCTTAAGTGGAGTACTGTCTGCACATGGAATAATGCTATCTAGTTGTTAACCAGGTGGTGCTCCACTATCCTTTTAGGTGTTGAATGTGAGCGGTCTTTCAACAACTCTGTACTTTTTCTAAACACCTAGAAATTGCAAATTACACTCCACTAAGTTAGTGACAGAGATTTGAGTCTTTAAGGCCTGAATTATACTATTATTAGTGTGAATATGTTCTTAGAATCGAGGGATGATAAAATACAAGCTAATTAGAAGCATTTTTGGTAGTAGCCCAAACCATTAGAACTTCACAAGTCTTATCATAAGATCTGCTTTTTAAATTTTAAATTACTAATGTTAGTTAAAAAATGTGAAAATCTGTAAGTAGTAAATTTCCAACTAAGTCTTTGAGAGACCCTTAAAGATACTTTTCTGTGTTCAGTTACCAGCATAAGGATAATGGTTAAATATTGAATTACATTGGTGCATTCAATAATGTTTTGTTCCTTTTGAGAGTCTTTTATCTAGATGTATGAAGCTATTTCTTTGAGAAGTTAAGGTTTTTGTGTTCAGGGAAGTTACGGCCCATGAAAATTACGTTTTGGAAAAATTGGAAGAACTCTTAAACAAAAACCTTATCCTCAAAAAAAAAAAAGAGTTTTTTTTTTAGGGACTATATTTCTTTGTCTGCAATTGCTGTAGGAGATACCTGAATATGTGTATTTGTTGTGACTAAGATTCAGAAATACATTTCTTAACAGTTAACGGTACCAGCTGCATTAGGAAGTTCGATATTAGCACTTACAGAGAAGCAAGTACTTGGGTTACTGAAACGCAACAAGAACCTTAAACAACCTTCCCATTTTCCTTAAACTGGATAATTCTGTTCGACGCTTCTTTCCCAGGAAGACAGATTTTCTATTTTGGGGCTTTTTCAGGTACAAAAAAGAATTTGTGCCTGCTTAAACTATCTGTTCAGTGTGTTAATTGGATATCAGAATAAACTTTGTCTAATATCCAAACAGTACTTTTCACTACTTGCAATCATCTGTTGATTCAGGCAATTACTCCTAGCAGCTTCTGCCAACTGAGTTTTTTTTGAAAACAAATTATCTTCTGTGATTTCAGAGAATGCAAACCATTCCATGAAAGATAACACAGTTAAACAGTTGGTGGGTTTATTAATAGAGCTTGAAGAAACAGAAGCAGCCTATCCTTACAATTTTGTTAGTCCAGACACCTAAATTTCCAGAGCTCCATAAAGACAGGTAGTGAAAGTCAAGCTTTATCTCAAATGGGCATCAATATAGTCAATTACCATGAGATAATTACATGGGGTGGCCATGTTCTGCCTTGTCTGTTTCCTGTGCCTTTTTTATTCTTTGAAGCATGCAAGTATTGGTAACATTGGTGAATATCAGTGATTGCTTTCACAAGATCTTTTCAGAGAGAATACAAGAACCTTTGATCTACTTACCTTTGAAGGTTGTGGTCCTTGGACTCCAGACAATGTCAAGAGCTTGGCTTTTTCTTTTAAGCCATGATTTGGCATCCTAACATACTTCCACTTTTTCTGGAGGAGTCCCATGAGCTTGTCTTTAAGGTTCAGTCTTTGGAAAGTGTTGGAGACTTTCATTTGTTGTGCTAGAATGCTTGTATATATGTCTCTTTAACTGGACTTGATGTGGGTTAAATGATACCAAAGTTAGAAGCTATATGAAGCTGTAAGAATTTATTTTCTCAGAAAAAGATGATCATAATAACTGAAACCAAGCAAACAGGCTTTTCTGGGTTGCATAATTTATTAATTAGCACTGAACCAGTAGCACTGTGTAAATTGGAAGCAACATGGGATTTGGGTCTCACTGTGAATGTAGTGAAGAGTGAGAGCATGACACAGAATAACTGCTTTTGCCATGTTTCTGAAAGCTGTGGGAGTAGACACTACTTTGGGGGACTGAAACAGGAAAGTTCTTTCTCTTAAGAAGTAACCATCTACAACTAAAAGAAAAAAAAAAATCAGCCAGGCTGAAGCAGAAGCATATAGGTGTTTGTAGGGTTGATAAAAAGTAGTCCTTCAGATAAAAAGGTATGTTGATCTATAAGAAATGAGTCAAAGTCAGGAAGTGACAATATTGATTCAAAAGTTTCAAAGTTGCAAGAACTTTGATCCCTTTGCATTACTTTCAGTTCTAATGAGACAGAAGTGATAGGGAGAAGAGACAAAGAAATGAGAGACGCCTGGATGTCCCACTGCTAAGAATTACATTAAAAAACCAGCTCAGGTTGAAAGGGATTGCAGGTAGTCCAACCTTCTGCTCAAACCAGGATCAGCTATCTATGACATCAAGTTGCTCAGGGCTTGAAAACCAGTTGGATCTTGAAAACCTCCAAGCATGGAGATGGCACAGCCTATCTGGGAACCTTTTCTGCTGTCTGACTGTCATTAAGGTGGGAAAAGTTTCTCCTTGTCTGAACCTCTTTGGATTTGATCTGTAACTGTTGTCTCTTGTCCTCTAGCCATACATTGCTGTGAAGTGACTGGCTGCATCTTCTTGATAACCTCCTTTTAGATAATGGGGGGCCTGTTATATAACCTGAAGTTATCTCTTCTCCAGCCTGAATATACCAAGTTCCCTCAGTTCTTACAGGTACATCAGCCCCCGGCCATGTTGGTGACCCTCCTCTGAGCTCGCTCCAACTTTATTCCTGTGTTAGGGGGAAGGTGTGTGCTAAAAACTGGTCATTATCCCAGATGTGTTGTAATGAGCGCCAAATAAAAGGTGCCTACATACTCAGGCAGTTAATCACTTCACTTTAGCTTGTGTCTATGCTACTACTAATACAGCCTAGGATGATGTTAGCTTTCTCTACTTGTATGCTGCTGCTTTGTAGCCAGCTTGCTCCCTATCACTATTACCAGGTCCTTTTTAAGCTTAGCTGCTCCCCAGCCAGTTACCAGCTATATTGCTTCAGGGGGCTCTTTCTTCCTGAATTCAGATCTTTGCATGTGTCACTGTTCAGCATCAGAAGGTTCATGCTGGCCTGTTCCTCCTCCCTGTCTAGGTTCTAGGGAACGGCCGCCCTTCTCTTGAGTGTATCAATTGTATTGTGTCGTGACCTACCCCCACCCAGTTCCCTTTTTATCTGCAAACTTGGTGAGATTGCACTCTTGGCCTAATCCAGGTGATGGATAAAGATGTTAAACAGATTCTAATAGAGACTCCTACAGTATTCTACTTGTAACTAGCCACTACCATTTGAGGTTAACCATCAAACTATTTTTATCAATGTTCTAGTTCACATACCTAGATTGAAGTCCTAAATCGGCTATAAAAATACTGTGTGAGACAGTGCCGAAAGCCTTGCTACAGCTGAGTTACATGTAATCTGCTTGCTCTGCTTTTGTCCATAGATCTGGTCGTTTTATCATGGGTTATAACTGGGTTGTCCAGACATGATGTAGCCTTGGTAAATTCTTACTGAGTGTTCCCAATCACCTTTTTCTCTTTCATAACCCCAGCAATTTGTTCCAAGAGGACTTGCTTCATGACCTTCCTGGGACCAAAATGAAGCTAACTGGTCTATAGTTTCTTGGCCTGTCCTTTTGCCCTTTTCCAAATATAGGTGTGATACTTGCCTTTCTCCATTTGCCAGGGACCTCCCCCCAGTCTCTGTGACCTTTCAAAGATGATAGTGAGCAGCTTAGCTGTGGCATTGGCCAGCTTTGTCAGAACCTGTAGGTGAGCTAGCCTCTTCAATTTCTATGGGTTGAGTTCTTACAAGTAATCCCAGACTCAGTCCTCAACTACTGCTAGCAATTGTTCTCCTCTTTGAGCCTTTTTACTCATCATGGAGGCTTGGGAGACAGGGAAGGCTGATGTAAAAAAGACATTGAATGTGGTGACCTTCTGGGTGTCCACCGTTGATAAATTACGTGGTTTGTGTAGAAGCAGGTCCATGTTTTCTTTCCTACCTTAATGTAGTGGTAAAATCTCTTGTCTTTGTCACGCTTTGCAAACATCAATTCTAGGTGAGCTTTTGGCTTTCATTTCACCATGCCTACATATTCAGGCAGTCTTTCTAAATTCTTCCTTGGATTCCTGTCTCTGCTTCTGTTTCCTCTATGCTGTTGTTTGGCCTTGTAGCTTTCTCATAAGTTGCCTGTTTAGACACGCCAGGCTGTTACACATCTGTTCTCCTCGGTACCAGGAGGACTGATATAGTACAAGAACTGTGTCAAATTTTGGGAACACTGCTGGTGGAAAAATCTGAAGTCATGCCATTCTGAGTAGAATATAGTCAGGTATGTGGAAACTTTAGGAGCAAGCTTTGTACTTGAAATCACGATTGATTATGCAAGATGTGGCATGGTCTTTCTGAAAAGAGTTACTGTATTAATTAAAATATGGTGAATTATGTTTATTACATGTAATTTAGAGGCTATATCCAAATGACCAAATGAAGTTATGACAAAACCTAACACAAGCATTGATAACTGAAAAGAACATAACCACTTCTTGAAAAGCCTTTCTTAGGAGGAATATATTCCTTCAGTTTAAAAAAAAAAAGTAACTTCAGAAGCTATATGATGTGCTAACATGATATGTGCCATATCCATTGATTATCTTTAGAACTATTTACTATACTTGACAAAAGTATTTTTGATAAAAATGTTCTAATGCTGAAACTTTCCAGATTAGAAAGAGAGTGTTTTGCCACGAACAAGCAAATGAATGAGAAGATTGAGGAAAAGAAGAACGTAATTAAAGACCTCTCTGAGAGACTAGGGAATAATGAAAAAACCTGCGGAGAATTACAGGAGGAACTTGCAATGGTAAGAGAAAAGGCCTGTGGCACTCACTGTTTAGGGTTTTTAAAATGTATTGTGAACATAATCTGCGTTTGCTGTGTTGAGCTGTGGAAGAACTCTCCCAAATGTGTTACTCTGATTTTACTTACGTTACTTTTTTTGGTAAAACGTGAATAAATATAGCTAATGAACTGGAGAAGCTAATTTGAAAATGTGTTTTAAGTGGTATATGACGTATTTAACTGAAGAGTTATTTGCAGAAAATAATTATTTTAAAAGTATGGCTGTAAGTAAAGAGTAACTTGTGTTTGCATTTCTAGCGAACAAGGCAGTTTGTAAATGTGGATTATGATTCCTTGTGGAAAATGTTCTAGCTTTCTACCCAAACTTTTTTCTTCTCCAAGCTTTATTATCTATCATTGTAGGCTTGTTTATTTCTATTGCACATAACCTTTGTTTTTAGTGCGAGTATTTGACTGTAAAAATTGTTTCAAAATTGCTTGTTTGAAGATGACAAAGTGGAGAAAAATTTTTTTGTTGTTGTTTTAATGTGGATTTGGCAAGTTGGATGTATTTTACTGGGTTATTTTCTGGAATCTTTCTCCTTTTTTATGACTAACAGACAGCCTTTCTGCTGTCTCTACCCACCTCAACTTTGAATACCAATTTTGCCATCCTGTTGCATAGCAGCGGGGACAAAGCAAAAATCTTAGGATGTCTAAAAAACCCTTCTCTCCTTCCATTGTGTAGTAGCATTTGCAGTATTTCTATACTTAGACAATGTCAACTTTTTTTCTTACTGGCTTGCAAATTTATCCTCTTTCTCTCTCTTGGAGCTGTGAGTATGGAAGATAAATGTGGTCTGTTCCCTGCTGCTGACAGGCGTGCTAACCAGTGAGCAGGAGCAGAGACTGCATCAGAGGATCTTCAGGCTTGTTAGTGTCTTCTGTTCAGTTGATGGAGTAATTCCATACATTGTCTTAATGTTATCCACTTCCCAGTCAGATTGGTAACTAACAAATTGAAGAAAAATTAAATCAAAACCCCTTCTTCCTTCTGGGAGAATCACAGTTATTTCCATGTATTAAAAGGTATTTGCTGGTCTAGTTAACCAAAAAAAGTCATGTTATTAGTCACAAAAGGAATACAAAGAGACAAAAGCAACTGTCTCCTCTAACTGCAGTCAGTAATGATTGCTATTTATTAACATAAAATACAATTCCAAGCTGAAAAATTTCTACTAGGAACCTTGGATGCCTGCTAGCTATCACTGTGATACGAGTTTTCATTTTCTATTCCTTAGTAAAATGTGTGTTATACCTGATAAGAATTCAGGACAAAATTCTGTTCATGATCAAGGTTTCTGGTAATGGCAATAGTATTATATGTTGTACTCAAAATGAACATTACATTACGGAAAGTTAAAAAGCAGAATAGATTGTCTCAGTTGAAAGGACTGTCTTATTCATATAGCTGGTTGTTTTAATTGTTTTACTGGAACAATTTCAAACCACAAGATTGTCTTGAACAGGTAATAAAAATACTCATTTTCTGAGGACTTGTATTAGTGGTCCCCTATGGGATTAGATTTTTATCAGCTTGGATGGCTTTGTATTTTTCCTGAAGACTTTTGTATTTGTTTGGGAAGCAGGAGTGCCTGTGTGTGGTCTTGTTTACGCAGTCTGGACAGTTTTTAGTTATTTTTCTTCCCAAAATGAAAAAGCAGAAGGTTCTAGCAGAAACTAAGTGTAGATAACTTTTCATATACTGTCATTAGACTTCTATATACCCACATTAAAATTGTGTGAAAATGTCAGTGTGTTCACTTCCCTTCATTTCCCACTCCCACTTTCTTGATCTATTCATTACTTTCTTAGATTTTTATACTATTGTTAGACATCCGGAATATGTCCTTTCTGTTCCAGTCTGATAATCTTATTTTAGTTTCTCACCATACTGCTATAATACAAGTTAACGTTTTTGTTTGTGAAATATTTGGGAGATATAACCAAACCAGTGAAGGCTTTTATTTTTTAGAGAAGCAGATTATGCAGGGACAAAATAAATTCTTTGGAAACTTTATATGAAAAAGAACTTTTTTTTTTTTTTTTTTTGGCTCAGTTGAATATCTAGTAAAGTAGTTACGCTGCTTTTAATTTTAAATAACAGCATGTGGCAGAAGTTTGCCAGAAATTTGCAGGGATCAAATGTGATAGGATCTGTTGGTATCAAACAAAACTGCTTGTGAATGTTCAGCATGAGCAGGCTCTCAAGAGTTCCATTATGTTTTTCTGAGGAAATTGGTCTCAAGCTTGTCATTATTTCCAGCTAGGGTTTTTAGAAATTTTTATCTTGAAGAACAGGAATTTGGAAGAATGGCTATTGTGATTCAGAACTTGTTTTAAATTGAAACAGCTCCAGCTGTATTCCTGCCCTATGGAAAGAATAAGAGGTGTCTTTAATAGTTTTAAAAGTTACTCAGGATATTTACATTTCTGGCAACTAGTAGTGGATGATCTTTAATTCTTAGTATCAGACAAGCGGGAGACATTGAACCTTTATTTTATGAGAAATGTATATTGAAATTTGGGGAACTTCCCAAGTCACTAGAATGCATATTAGGAAATTGAAGTAATTAAAAATAGTGTATTTCAGTATAAATTCCTTTAATTTGGAAGAACTGTGTATTCATTTCATCACTTTTGTATGGATAGTATCAAAAGCACCATAATTAGTGTATAAGTAGTATATTAGTTACACCCAGAGCCTGTCTTTTTCCGTGTGGCATATGAATCTTTCTTTTCCAGCCATGCATACAGTCATGCACTGTATACACCTTAGCTGTCTGTAATAGTGTTCTAGCTTACTGTAAGCTGAAAGTCAGAAGTGTTTGAGAATCTAGTTCCTAGTAGGCATTAACCATTGTTCTTTAAAAGAAGTGTCTTAAGTATTGACTGAACAGACAATGAAACAGCTTGAAGATTATGATTCTGTTCTACAAATCCCGTGGAGTAGAATCTGGTACTCAATGGTAAAGTTGTAACTCTCATCTAGACGATGTATTGTGCATGGAGTGTTTTATTTCTATTTAAAAAAACCTGAGACAGTCTTCAAGAATTTTGTGCTAATGATTGTTAAATCTTCTGTTACCTTGGTTCTCGTTTTGCTTGCCTTAATTCAAGGGTGGAGTGTTCCTGCCCAGATGCTACTTCTGTTATTGTCCTGCTTTAAGACCAATCAGTCTGAAAAATATGCTTAAATGATCTTCTACAAAGAAACCAATTTGGAATTTATTCTGGAAGTAGAGAGGTCACTCAAGCTGTGATGTCCCAGTGTTTGAAGACAAAAGTTGCCAGTTCTCAAAAAAAATTTTCTCTGACTAAAAAAAAAAAAATCCAAACCCAAAAAACCGAAAGAGATACTTCATAATATTCTCTCCCACCAAAGGTACAAATTTCTCTTTAGGGGATTAGAATAGTTCCATATAGTATCCATATCAAAACTTGAGCATTTTTGACTAATTTTATTTCGGATGATTAAAACAGAGACACTACATTTCTTGAGAAATTGCATTTAATTTACACATGGCTAAACACATTTTAAAGACACCTCTGTAGACCTTGGAAAATTCTAACTAATCTAAGAAAATAAAGAAACTCTATTAAAGTCTTCAATAGTTAGATAACTTGAGCAAAAATAAATAGTAGCCTAAGGAGAGAGATTGCCAGTGAGGGTTTTGTTTTGTTTTTTATACTGCAGTTTATGCTTGGTTGCTTAAAATTTGTGCCACTGTTCTGCTATGCAGAACATCACTCAAGTAAAACGCATTTTTTGTTAACTGTGGAGCAGACATTTGGGGCCTATTTCTAGAAATGCTTTGATTTGGTTTCCCCAAGGTCACGCCTAGTAAAAATTCTGATGCTCTTGTAAAGAATTTGCCCAAATGCTTTTCAAGGATTAGCTGAACATACTGCTTTTTGGTGCTGTGTAGATAGTTCTGGCTTTGGCACTTGCTGTGCCATCCCCAGAAGGGATTTGTGCTGCAGACCGAGTGGGTGAATCAGTCCATGTGCAAGAGAGCCACGCAGGAAAAACACTGTAACTGTAAACAGAGAAAAATCCTCTTGGAATAATGGCAGTTAGTTGCAGGACTGGACCCCAGTTTTCTGCATAATACTACCAGGGTTTTGAGAAGTTAATTTTGAAAAGGCCTCAAACTCCTGCTTACATGTTTATTTTTTAAATGGTATTGAACTTGAGATTCAGATGCATGTTTGCAGCATGTGGGCTATTCTGGAAGTGTGCACTGAGTTTGCGTTTATTTTATTCAACAATGGCCTGTGGAAAATGGTGAAAATGAATCAGACTTCATTTGTGTCCTGGAACAGGTGATGGCGTGATAGTAAATACTGGTATTTAAGGAAAGTATCTCTGCAACCAAGGTAGTAGGGAATTGCCCAGATAAATGCAAATATCCTATTTCTGGAAGATTAACATAATTCTGACAGTGGGTGGAGTAATTTTTATAAGTAATAAGTTTTCCTGATTATTCTCGTTATCCTTATGGATAAGGATACAAAGCATTTGGAAAAAAAGATTTTTTTTTTCCCCTGGTTGGAGCCTACAGTACTCGTAATGAAAAATACTTGGCTTCTATTTAATTTCTTTAAAAGTGCAGTTGTGTTTTAAAATTGATAGTTAAGTAAATACGTTGCGAAACACGTTTTTTTACCAAAAATTCTTCTGTCCTTAAGGGATGTTTTGTGATAATAGAAGCCTTCTTAAGGATATGAAGTTTGACTTGGGGAAACATTGTAAATGCTACAGTTCTGCATATGTTCTGTGTTCAGAAGGTATGACTTTGCTCCCATATTGTTTTGTTTCTAGCCTCCTATTCTGAAAATTTTGTGAGGGAGAAAGTTGTGTTTGGGGGGGTATAGGAAATACTCCTAATATATTTCAAGAATTTTAAATTCTCAAGTGTTAATGCAAACTGCACAAGAAGACTTTACCACTGGTCAGGTACCTGGGATTCCTGAAGGCAGGAATACTGAGGTGAAAAAGCCATTGTGAAGGCCTTTTCTGTGTCCTAGTCACAAGATTCCTTGCCCCATTCAGCAACAGGCCCACATTTTGCCTAGTCTTTCTTCTGCTGGTGATGCACTTCAGGAAGCCTTTCCTGTTGCCCTTCATATCCCTTGCCAAATTCAGCTTTAGGTGAATTTTGGCTTTCCTAAGCACATGTGTCCATGGTTGGACAGCGTCACTGTATTTCTTCCAGGTCACCTATGCCTGCTTCCACGTCCTTTATGTTTCCTACTAATATTTGAATTTAGCCAGGAGCTCCTTGTACATCCATGCAGGGCCTCCTGCTGCCTTTGATTTTTCAAGGATTACCTCCCAGGTCAAGAATGGTCTATCCCGATGTGCAGGAAATCAAGCAAAGTCAGCAGAAGGCTTACTTCAGAAGTGTTCTTTCACCTGCTTCTACTAATGTGGTCTGGGAAGCAAACTCTTTAAATAAAGGTTTTAAGTCTTTGTCATCTGACTTTCCTTTTGAAGTAATCTAAGGAACACTTACACCAATACCTTTCCAGTAGTTCTGCAGGAATGGCATCCCCTAACACAACTATCATGATGGATGGAGTTGCTGAGAGGGAAGTAATCTCATCTCCTGGAATAGGTGGATGTGGCAGAAGGTATCTTTCAGCAGCTGCAATTGATTATGTTTGACTTCTGCACTTGTGGACTCCCTTTTCAAAGTAAAGAGTTATGTATACTTGCTGTGTTTGTTCAGACTGAAGAAAAGAAAACTTAAGACAGCACAGCTACTGCCATGAGCTATCAAGTGAGTGCCTATGGAGAAGACAGCGCTACCCTCTCCTTAGAAGTGTGCAGTGAAAGTATGAGAGAAAACAGAAGTTTTAGAATGGGAAATCCTAATTACCTGTAAGGGGAAAAAAAATTTCACAGTGAGGATTGTGAGGTATTGGAGCAGGTTGCCTGGAGGGGTTGTCGAAACTCCATCCTTGAGGATACTCAAAATTTGACTGGACAAGACTAAGCAACCTAACCTGACTTCAAGCATGGCCCTGCTTTGAGTGGGGAGTGGGACCCGATGACCTCCAGAGAGCCCGTCAGCTTAAATTATTCCATGATTTTATGGCTCTACACATTCTTATTAGATACCTGTCAGTGAGAAATAAGAAATTAGATCGATATGTTCAGGCCCTTTTGGACTCTTAACCTGTGCCTGGATTTCCAACACTGTAGTTTACAGTATTTCTCTTCAATTCTGATAATGGGGACCGTGATTGAAAATGGGAGTTAGAAAGGAAAGATACTAAATACTTTGCAGCTGAAGTGTAGAGAAACTCACTAGTCTAAGGAATTTCCTTTTGATGTTTATAGCTGCTGAAAAAGAGACTGAAATTGTATTAGGGAGTGTAGATGCAGTTAGCAAACAAAGCACAGAGAAGTGGTGAAGGTTGAATAGACTGGAATATACTGACTAAATTGTGGTAAATTAACTAAACCAAATGAAAAAATTGGATGAGGAGATTGAAAAAAATTCTCACATTTGACTTTTCCATGGGAGAAGGTTTTTCTGGGAAGATTAGTGTGACCTTGTCCGTGCTGGAGTGGTTTATATAAAAAGAGTATTTATTTTATTGTGATGCTGATCATATTGTTGTATTTTTTTATTTGTAATATGTGAGGTCTTTGAGATTATATCAGTACATGAGAGTAAATTATTTTAGTGTGTTTGCATCGCATAAAATATTTGTACTGGAGCTCAGCAATTACATAAGCTCTATTTATATGGATAATTTTATAGAGTAAAATTTAAAGCTTAGTTATTTTTGAATATATAGAAGTGATTTGGAAATTCTTTATGAAGTGTAGTACAAACTCTCACACAAGGAAAGGCGTGTAAATGCTACAGGGGACCTAACATTGAAATACACATATGAATAATATATTAGTTGATATACAGTACATATAATTAAAATCGAAAGAGTAAAGCAAATTTATAAAATATTTAAACTGAATAGTAAAGAACGCTGCAGAGAATTAAATACATTTCTTGTTTTTTTAGCCTGACATTTATGTGCTATCAGTATGTAGCAATTTTCCTGGGGAGGATGTTTCCCACACTTGAGAAATTGTCTGGATCCTTACACATGCAGCAGAGCATAACTAAAGCAATAGTTTATAGATATGATAGAACACAGTAGGATTTTTCTCGATATAAAGAAGGGTAACCTTCCATAACCAAGTAGAAAAGGAAATTACTCAAATAGGTGTTAGAATTTAGAATAAAAATAAATTGAGTAATTACAAGTAATGAGACATCTTTGAGCATAACCTTTGTTATAATAAAATTGTGAAGTTATTCAAATCTAGTTTCCTCTTACTTGGAGGGGGGTTGTGGGAGTCGGGGTTTCGTTTTTTTTAAATTTTCTAAACTGCTGACATGTATTACTTTTTGTCAGTCAGCTGCTAAAATTGTACATTTCTTTCAGAATTCAGAACTACATATGTCCAAGAGGACCTTAGTGTTGTCTGGAGTTATGGGTGCATGTCTTTGAAAATTGCAAGTTTTAACATCAGATTGAAATTGAAGGGATGATTTGTTATTATATTCCTATTACAGTGATTAAAAAAATGTGCTGTAATACCTTTCTGCCTTCAGAATAAAGCCAGTGTCTTGATTTGAACAATAGGCAGAATTTAGTGAACAGCTTTCTTTAAGAAAATTCAATGACAGGAGCTGAAGGACTCTGCTGCTTTGTATTCCATGCATAAAGAGAAGTTTTTGATGTTGAAGAAATCATAATCAAGCATGGAAGATACTAACAATCAAAGTAGGCAGGTTTGCAATGAGAATAGGTGTGGGATTTGACTGAGTGCCAAATCATGAATTTCTAGCCTGTCTGCCAGTAGTTTGGTGTCTTTCTGGATGCCCTTGTAGGGTGTAACAATAGGTTTCATTGCTTGCATAGATGGGCAGCAGTTAATTAATGTTCATTAAGATATTTTTAAAGCGGAAGAAGATAAAGACTAGGTTTTAGTACAACCTTTTTTTCTCTTTGTTTTCATTACCTGAAGCTTTTAGTTTTATTTTAAGTGTGTTTCAGGGTTCTGTGTTACATATTTGTAATGTCATGTTATGTCTCTCAGCTCAAGGAAAGGAGTAATAAGAAATATAGTAGGAATTTAAATTTAAAGAGAAACAAAAATAGCATTGTTGTGTGTCTTTGTTTACTATTTTAATGGGTTTGTTTTTTCCTCTCTTGTCTTGTCCGTACCTCCTGTCAAATAAAGGCCAAGAAACACCAGGTCTTTCTAACAGAGACGTATGAAAACAACATGAGAGAGCTGGAGTTACTCTTGGACAGCTTTGCTATGTCAGGCCAGCGGACAGCAGGTTAGTTGAAGGTATAAAATGACAGATGCATCTGTCAATGTTCCAAAGTCACTACATTGTGGGAATTCTGCAGATGCCTCTTGCATTCCCTCTTCTCAACATGCTTTGATTTGATGACATGATAAGAGCAGTTCTCACAGCAGTCAAATGGCCTTGCTAGCTGAGAAAGGGTGACGGAATGTGGACCTGCTGTTGTCAGCCCAGAGCTTGATTTACAAATGCTGGGGTGTATATGATCGGTCAGAAAAGGGCTCACTTGCTGTGCTCTAAATCCAACTGAGAAAAAAGTCCTTACAGTATACCTGCAACGGGAGCAGATGTTTTGCCTGAACTGAGCCAAATTCTGAGGCAACCTTCAGCAACTTAAAGGTCATATATTCAAAAAGGTTGTGTAGGACACATGATATAACACAATACTTCTTACTGTTGATTGTGGACTTGTACTTCATTGCATTCATTTGGTCTAACACAGAACAAATATTTCTCTGTTTTCATTAAAATTAATTGTAAGTCAGTGGTGGTCACTCTGCTGCCTAACTTTATATGAAATTATTGTATCAAACTCAAGAAACTGCTGCCTGCTTAAACATTTAAAATAGTGGCTAACATAAACAAGCTGAACTGTTACATCAAAGCTAGTTCATTTTTTTAAAAGTGAAAATAGTATACTCTTTAAAATCTTGATCTAAAAGTATCTATAAAGTTTTCTCTGTGTGGTTTCTGTTAGAAAATCACGTACTAGATACAAAATGCTTCCAACTTAGAATGCAAGTAAACTGAAAGAAAACAGGCAAAATGTTGCTTAAAGAGCAAATGGGTTTATTTTATGTAAACTGTGACGATATTTTTCTGCACTATTTACAGTAGACATAAATGGGTCATATAACACCTTTAAATGAAGATGCTTTTTTTTTTTTTTTTTGTATCTCCACAAAAAGATTGGTTTTTTAGGATCTGGTACTGTTAAAATTCACTAAAGGAACTTCTTGAGATTTCTGTTGTCTTTAAAAGCCTAACCTTGAACCTGTGATGCATTGATTTCCTCACGTGGGCTATATGATTGGGGGGGGGGGGAACTGGTATCAGTTTTATTCTGGGTATCAGTTTTATTCTGTAATTATAAATGTAATTCCTGTGGGTAGTACCTGTAGGTTTACTGTAGATACGTTAGACTGGAAAGCTCTTCAAAACTATGTTTTCCTTGGTCTTGCAAAGTTCTGTATGCCCCAGAGGGGCCTCAGCAGTTCTGGAGGGAGTTGGATGCTGCTGCCAAAGTGCAGTTTCCAAAGCAGTAATTGTCTTTTGGGTAGGTTTTCTGTTCTCCCTAGTGGTAAACCTTGCAGAAAACAGCTTTGACCTGTTTTTATATTATTAGGGATTCAGTAACAGTAATTTCAGCATTAATTTTATTTGTTTAAGGTAAACTTTGAAAGATCTTACTTAAAGAGATTTTCTTTTTTTTTTTTAAGCTTCAGCATCTCTGCAGAGGTTCAGTTGAATCAAAGTTAAATTTAGCTCTGCTGTGGATTGAGTTTTTGTGGCTAATATTAAAATGGACATTGACTAAGACATTTGTTCTACATGTTTACTATGCTTCTAAGTGTGAAACTTAAATTTTTAATACTATTGCCTTACTGTGTTGTACTTAGGAATTGATTAGGTAACATTTCTTTCAACTTTCAAAAAAATGTTTAATGTAATCATACTTTAAATGGGAATGCCTAGGTGCCAATAAAAGTAAGAATCTTAAATAAATCTTTGTAGTTTAATTAGCAGATGTGGGGCTACATGAGCCACAGCCAGCTGGGTAGTCTTTCTCTCTTGTTTTTGTTTTTAACCTTCAACTCAAGTGATTGAGAGATCCACTTAAAAATCTGTCAAGAGTAAAGTCCCAGCCTCCTCACATAAGTGCTGTTTGAGCTATGATTATTGGGCTATACAGGAAAAAGAAGAAAAGACTTTATATTTTTAAGATTAAAAACTGAAGTATTTTTAATTTTTTTTTTCTTTATACATCCAAAATAACAACCATAATGCCACATCTTCTCCTTTTCAAGTGACCTTCATAAATTTTCCACAGCTTTGTTACTCTTATTGGGCAATTTGCATGATTTCAGTTTGTCCCTGTTCCGTTTATCATATTTTGCAGTTAATTCAGCAAGAAAGTTTATGCTCAGGAAAGTTTGTCTTCATTTCAGGAAAAAAAATTATGGTTGTATTAATCTGAAAAAAAAGTGAACTGCATATAAAGTGGTAAGACTTTAAGCTAAGCTGCTTTAAGTTAGTGTCACCATTTAACGCTGGCTACCAGTACCATTTTGCTCAAAAGTCTAAAACACAGCACTGTATGAGCTGCTAGGAAGAAAATCAACTATATCTTAGCCAGGCCCAGTACTCTTAGTAGAAATTCTGAAGCAGCAGGTTTGAGAGTTTACTCAGTTGTATACCTCCTGTCAGACTCCTATTGAGCCTGGCATTTTCCCAAAGTTCTTCCACAAAACTCTTAGGTGATACTGGGCAAATGCTTCAAGTATTTTTTTTTTTTTCCCCCCTCATTGCTGAAGTAGGGCCTCTCTAGCAAGGGAGTTCCGTTTGGATTATATTGTATGTCTTCTGCATATTTCTGTGAAGACAGACAACATTTGGCCGGTATTAAAGCCATAGGCTTGTTTTCAGCTAGTGCAGGAAGGTGGAATCTGGTATTTCTGTTGGCAGACTGGGCTGCCTAGAAAATAGGGTTGCAGCAAAGGAAAGGAGTGCCAGCATGGAAAGTTTACTGGCAAAAGTCTGGTTTTGGCAAACATGATGTAAATTAAGATAGTTCAGAGGCATATTTCAGTGACAGCATTGCAGGTTGGGACTTTATAAATGAAGATACATTATTTAGACAGCTTGATAAAAAAAATACGGAATGGTAGAGAACCCCTAGATTGACTTAATAGGTATTATTTTAAACTGAATGAAAATTGTGAGTTACAACTTCTCTAGAGCTGGAAGTATAGAATAATAGTACTTTCTTTTTTCTGTGCAACAGGATCACTGCAAAATGTTCCTACAATGGCTAGTAGTGAGAAGTCACTCTTGTAATTGAGAAGGCAGGACTGGAGCTCTGTGTATTCTTAAATATAGCTGTGGTTAAGTGATAAAAATGGTAGTAAGGTGTCACTAGACTCTTTCTTAAATGTGAAGTCTAAGCTTCTCACAAAAAGTCAGGTTTTATAAATTCTTAAGTTGATTCTAAGTGTAATGTTGCTATTTGGGACATCTGTAGGACTCAGAGGTTTGGTTAAGAGCACTGTAGTGTCATTAAGAAGATTTTGCCTTTTCCCTGACTCTGTAGACCTTTAGAAACTGGTAAATAGGTATCCACTGGAGTGACTGAGAGGACAGAGCAGAAGTCTGTCACTGGGAAGTGTGTTCTTTCTAAATTCACTTGCATGCTGTAGAGCACATCTTGCTCCTATTACTGAAAGTGATCTTGCTAACCTGCATTGGTTTGACTAGGTGTGACTTTAAAAGTAACAGTTGACTGGCAAGCCAAAGTGAAAAGTTAGTGTCCACTTTCAATAGTACTCTGTGCTTTCTGGTGTTATCAAAGGGTTGGGAGAGAAGAGGCTAATTAACTGAAAAAATTTTCAGAGTAGCTGTTGGCCATACTTTCTGACTTGTGCATATGTGTTAAGTTTTTCACTACTATTGGTGCATTATGTATACCCTACAGGACAAATTACCATTTCTATATAATGCTTTGAGTAGAATATCATGCTTATTAGATAACACTAACCATAAGATTCTCAAAAAAACCCCAACCTGAAGGTCTGTAAGCGCTCCTCCTCTAGCTGACAAAGTTTTATAGAGAGCCAAAGAAAAGTCTTAGAATTTAGTATGTTATTTGACTTTATGAGCCACCCTATGTAAGTTGCTTGGTGACACTGACCTTTCAGAAGTGATAAACACCTGTATCATTGTTCAATTTTCTGCTGGGAGTATGATTGTTTAGCCTTTCTGAAGTTCAAATGTCACAGATATTTTCACTTCTTTTGCAAAATAAGATGCTGTCAGCATTGGTAAAGTTAGTTTTGCTTATAGAACATGTTAAGACTCATGAAAAAGATGATACTATCATTTGTTAAAAAATAAATTTATAAATGCTGTATACTAATATAAATAATGCTGAGAAGAAGAATCTGTCAATAACCTGGTATTTGGCTGTAACACCAGAAAAAAATTAATAGTTTCTTCTCAGAAATTTAATATCAGCTGACATCTTGTGACCTCTTGATCAATACAGGGTTGTTTTGCTTTCTTAGCACATTGTACTATGGGCTTTGGAATGCTCAAACTTGTTCATATGTCCCTAATTAAGGCAACCAGATCAGAGGTCTCCGTCTAAAGGTTTAATAAATAAGTGTAGTGTGTATATAATGGATATATCAGCTTTAAGTTTTATAATTGAAACGTTATGTAGGACTCTGCAGACAGATAATAAATTTTTTTTATTATTTCCTTTGGAATGAAATTCAAGATCATTTAAAAGGTTTTTAAGACCTCTCCAAGCATAACATAGTCATGTGATCTTTGGCTCGGTAAAGCTTTGAGTAAATTAAGTACTCCGTTATAATATGCATGCTTAGTCACAACAGCAAAATAATGTCAGGAAAAGTGTAACATACTTAACTTTCAAGCAACATGTTTTTCAAAGCGTGTTATTGTGCGGTTTTAAAGTTGGCTGTCTGACTGAATGACACAGACTTGACCACAGTAGAAATTATACGCAAGACTGCATACCAAATACATTAGGTAGAAATGTAATCCAGAATTTACAGTTCTGTATCTTGTATTAAAGCTTTTATACAAATGTCTTTCAGCTGTATTTGCTTTGAAAGTATGGCTATTCAGCTGCATCTCTTGTGGCAAACAAGGCTGCTGTTCTGTGTTTTGTATTGTCACTGAAGCCCTAACTAATTTCAATACCTCTCATCCAGGGTGAGTAGTTTTTTCGGTGTGGCTTTAATGCATAATTTTCATTCTGTATTTTTCTTCAGGCACTTGTAAGGACAAAGATAAACCTCCAAGCCTTTCTGTCCTTGAGACTTTGAGGTGTACCTTGACAGCTTACCAGAACAAGCTGGAAGATATGTCTAATGAGGTAACTCTTGCACTGTTTGGCTCCATATGTATCGCCTTCAGCCTGCAGCAGTACATACGCTTTGCTTGTAAAAAAGGTCAGAAGACTGGGAATGTTGAGTTGACAGCTTCACATATACCCAAAGAAACAACCTCTGTCACTACTATTTCTCTAAGCTTGCCCTACAGTGAAGTTTCATTTACATTTCAGGGGACAGAGAGAAGAGGTTTTTTTCTTTTTTTTCTTTTTAGTTTATTTTGTTTTGTTTTGTTTTTTATTAAACCTATTAGGGTTATTATTTTCAATAAACATTCAAGAAAATGAACCATTTGTATCTAGGATTTCAGTTAAGAGATGATGATTTACAAATTGGGGAGTGTATACTGCAATATTCCTAAAATATACAACACTTGAGCCTTCACAGTCATTGGTATCAGTTATGTAAATGTGCATGCCCATGTACGTTTAAAAAGAGACATAATTTTCTGAGATAAGTGTTTTTATGATTAAGTCTGGTGGTGCTATTTTGAGGTCTTTTCAAGTAAAATCGGACTGTGACAATACTTTATCTAAAACAGTAATGGAAATATTTCAATTTTGGAAGTCTTACACTTGAAAAAAAATTTTTTTTCCATTCCATTTGTACTGGCCTATTAGTTCACTGACTGAAGAGTCACAGTCTTGCATTTATTTTCTCATTTTTATTGCTAATGTGATCAAATTAATTATCTTGGGTGTAAATGTTTTATGAATTTGCGGCTATAAAGGCTGTAGAGAGAAGTTAACTGCACTGTTAAAGCTTTCTGTACAAACTTGTAATTAGCTTATCTTTGGATAAAACTGGCATATACAGAAAGGCAAGATGTGATAAGATCGTAAAAATGCCAGTCCTGTTTTTTCATTTCTAGGTTTTGTCTTTTGTTTTGACAAATGCATAGTCTAGCTAGTCAGTCATAACGTTTAAAAAAAAAAAAAAAAGACAAAAAACAGAAGAAAAGTCCATCGGCTTTGCCCCTTTTATTGGGAAAAGAATGGTCTCCCGCAAGAGCTTTGAGTTTGTTCAACAGGCGCAAAAATAAGTGACCATGGAAACAATTATACTTTTGTAAACAGCAAGCACTGTTAGGTCTCTCCCGGTGAGATAAGAGAACCGATGTGTATAGTCATTATGAAACTCTTCTGAGACCTAAGTCTGGAAGCTGCAGAGTAACTAGGAACATATTACCCACAGCGAATTGTTATTTGGGAGGAGGAATGTCACGTGATAGGCAGCACAGTTGAAAAGTCGACTCAGCAGGCTTTGGCTTAGTGATGTGCTTTGTTGTGAAACTGTGCCAGAGACAGCAGTGGGGAGACCAAGGGGGTGGCTGCTAAGAAAGCAAAGAGAGTATTCTGACAGAAAGAAGAATGAACTGTCAAGGAAAATAAATCGCAAGCAGAGCAGGACCAACTGATGACCTGCCACAAGACTTCCCAGTAGGACTGCATGTGACTGACCCTGAAGTTGTCATATGGAGCCGGAGATCACTGAGCACCTTCATGGTGCACAGAAAGGGCAGTGCTCTGTCCTTCTTGATTACACCCACCCCCATAGATAATGCTGCTTTTGGCTTTTTATATATTAGATATGATTAGTAATAAAACTTTTTAATAATACAATAATGCACAAAGGGAATATGAAGGGCACTGTGCAATAAAAACAGGATGTTTTAATACACAGCAGTAAGTGTTTAGTTTTGAGTAATTATGTAGTGGTTCTTTTTATAGAAAGATTTTCGACAAGATCCCACATATCAATGGAGTTACTCATATCTGTGTACACCTGTGAAATATGCTGGTAAACTTGTCATGTGTCACCTTTAACTTACTGTGTTAAACATTAGATTAAATGATCTAGTTCATTTGTGTGACTGAAAGGTGTATAAGTATTTTCTTTTTGACAGATAACAAGCTTTTGACTTTCTGTATAGTGCAGAGGCTAGAATATGTTTGGTGAGAGAGAGAAGGCTAGTAAACCAACAAAAAGACTGGAAATATTCCAGTAGGATTTTGTAATTTACTGAAGTTATTTCTAAGGGTTCTGCCAGGTCTCCTGATTTGAGATCAAACAAAAATAACAATTTCCAAAGTAATTTGTAGATTTTGTAAGTGGGATTTACTCTACGTTGCTCCTTAATGCTCAAGTACCATCAGTAACCTGCACTATAATATATCTCTGTTCGATGCTTTCTTTCAGACATTTGTATTGCTAACCTTATCATCAGGTTATAGATACAGATTATAGTGATGTGTTGTTAACTTTTTTTGAAGTGGAAGGTGAAGCTAGTACATATTATGGTCATGAGCTACCTCTAAGGTGGTTGCTTGTAACACTATAAACAGTTCAGTAGTTGTCATGCCTCTGGGGAACATTGCTGCTTCTTACAGGTATGTGAGTATTATCCAGCACTCAGTAAAACGTAGAGACCACACTCGTAGCTGGACGATTTCTGCAAATGGCCACTGACTTTGAAAACTTGTTTTCTCAAACCACTCCTCAGATTGTAATCTGAGTATATTACATTTTCAAATACTTTTCAAAGTCTGTGTTTTTGTCAGATATTTTGAGAGTTAATGGGAAAGTTAATACTGGACTCGGTTCGGGATTCTAGCACTGCTACTTATCTTAAATCATTATAAAAGAGTTATTTAGTGCTTTTGTAATAGCATATTTAGATTGTGTGGAGTATAAATATTGTCAAAGGAATCAAAAAACCATTTTTTTTTTCATTTATATACAAAATTCTTCCTTTATATTCAAGTGATTATGTAGCCTTTCTGTAAAAAGCCTGTTTGACCTCATATTTTTCACAGCTTGGGAAAAAGAAGGCTTTGTGTGAAAAGATGACAAAAGAACTTGAGATATCCAAAGAGAAAATGTGTGCTTTAAGTCAAGATTTTAAGGTATGGTTTCATGAACTTAACATAAAATTTGAAAGTTCTGAAAAAAATATCTTTCTGGATTTAAGGTATCTTTTTTTTTTTATCCACATAAATCTCTGTATCATTATATTCTTCTGAGGACACTAGTTTACCTTGCAAGCTTGTGTTAAGCCATGCTGCTTTCTTCTGGTTACCACCTGATCTTTTCAATGATTGCACTTCTGAAATAATTTGAAAGCGGTTGATCAATTTGCAAAGTATTGTTTTATATTGAAATCAGTATCAGTAATTTTTTGTCTTTTAACTTTTTTACTCAAGAAAAGGAGAAGATAATTTAATTACGTCTGTTCATATGAAAGTACATGTTATTAAAGAAGTCTTTCCTGTGTTAATTTTTTTTTTGTTTGTTTGTGTTTATCAGACAAGTTAATGCATGTATGAAGCATCAGGTTATCGTTCACAGTTGTACAATGTGCAGCCCAAAATTTCTTAGAGTAAAATCTACCTGGGAACTGATAAAAACACTTGAGAACTCTTTTCTTTTGTTTCTGAAAAGCAATTTTTTTTGGTCTGTTTTTGTCTGACATACCACTTTTGTAATGTCCTGTCTGGTTACATCAGTGGCCAAGGGAGTGAGGAAGTCCTGAGGTCATGGTTAAACTTAATCTCCCAACTGGCAGTGTATTATATTACTGCCAAAATAGGATGTCTCTACTCCCAGTGTTTCTTAGATTGTTTTTCTGGGGATATGCTGCTTTATCATTTGAGTTTAGTCACAGATAGCTTCTGCAACAGTCATTGAATCTTCATATTAGTTGATACTAGTGCACGATGTCCTGTCATCTGATCTGAACTGTCTTTACTAATTTATGTTCAGAAGACTTAAGACTTGTGCTTCTGTTGCAGCACCTTTGTAAGGCACCTAAAAATTCTGCAACCCATTGCAACAGATACTGGTATTCTTCATGCAAAAACTGTGTTTGCTACACATGGATGGTGCTGGTTTTTATTCAGTACACCAGTTTCTGATCTCTTTAAATTTTTGGTAATAAAATTGTATATATGAGTGAAAACTAGACCCAGTCTGAAAACATTTGTGTTATAAATATAACATTGCTTTAATATTTTAATATTTTCATTAAGAAGAATAAAAGTTGTCATTGTCTGATGAATTTTGGAGTATCTTTCCTATTATATTTCCTATATAAGCCGCTATGATTCTATGAAAAGCAAACAATGCTTTCAGTTTGACTTTTAGCAAACTTAGCAGTGCTGGAAGTCCAGTGCTTGTAAGAGAGAAAAGCATGGGTATCTGTCCACTCCATCTCAGCAATCTTTTGGTTGAAGGGGTAGTGTATTAAGTTCTTTGTTTACCTTGTGAGATTTGGTACTTGAAACATAATGATTGTATTTATGACCATGTCTGATTATTAGTTGCTTCCCATGGTCAAACCTCCAAAGAGAGTTCTCACTTTTTTTTATTATGCAGATGAAGAATACAGTGGGTAACAACAGCTGTCTGTGTTGCCTACCAACTCAGCAGTCATGGATCAGAGATATACTTAGGAAAATAAGACATCTTTTCACTAGCTTTGAGAGCTCTCCACTCTGCAGAGGATAACTTGCATACATGCATTCTGCTCTTTACCCCAGTTGTGGGGGTAAAGGGGATTCCGAAGGTCACTGCATCATGAAGCTTTTAACTCTCAAAGATGAATTTCTGATGCCATCTAGTTACAAACTGTGGAGAAGAACTATTATCAATTTTGAAATTCTGTTATTGACAAGATACAGTCAACTTAGCCTGGAGTATTCTGAACACGTGGCTATATGACTGTTTACTTTTTCAAATGCTGAGCACTGGACTAAGGTAACATTTTATAGAGTAAAATTCTTACCAGCCTTTCTGTTCCATGTCTCTGTTCTGCAGGAAGCTCAGGATAACCTGGCTGATGCCAATAAAGAGTTAAATCATCTGCACACTAAGTGTGCAGAGAGAGAGACTTTAATAGGAACTTTAAAAGTGGAACTACAGAATATGCGGCAATGCTGGGAGAAGGAGAAAGTACGTGCCACAGAATTTGAAAATGAAATCCAGAAGCTTACCAGGGCTTACCAGAAGGATGTGGAGGTATTACCAGAGAAAAGATGACTGTCAAAAAGAGTCTTTATTTAATCTCAACTTTACAAATTTACATACATCAGATTTTTACTCTTAGTCTTAACAGATTTATCCCCAAAATATGATTTTAAGATACATATTTTGAAATATGTATTTAATATCTACAAGATCTCAGGACAAATTGGTTCTCTTTCTTCTCTATCAGAACTAATAGCTTAACTCTCCCAGTATTTTGAATTTTTGAACAACTGAGTTTATTGAAAGAGCTATGCCTGACAAACAATTATTTCTTTCTTTCAAATTGGAAGTTAATAAAATTTGTTGGAACATACAATAGTATCATCGTAATGTGTTGTTAATTACTGATTGACATGGCAATTGATAGATGAAAAATTGAGGTAGTTTTCCCTGCATGCCACAAAACCTAGGAATTCTTATTTGTGACCTGTTAGGTCATTGTGGTGTGTTATATGTCAAATTGCTTAACAAAGTCTTATTTCGGAATTATTATCTCCTTATATTTGTTTACAGATGTTAATTTTGTTAATTTTTCCACCCTCAATAAAGTAATTCTGTACTAGCAATAGCAATGATGTTCTTGTGACAGTCGTGCATATTGAGCTCATTACTTCCACAAATTTGAACATGGATGCCAACTGAGTAAAAAGGAAACATTCTTTCCACCTCCTTTGCAGTCTGGTATTTAAATAGTGTCCACATGAAGCAGCTGGACTTGCTATACGCATCAGATAATGATTAAAGTGAAGGAAACTAGAAGCCTGGCTATATTGTAAAGTCAGCATGTCTGTAACACTGTGGTTGCATTCGACATGTGTAAATTGATTTTGGGTCTTGGGATCCCTTTTTTCATGCCAAATGGATAATTATCATCCTTGGCTTATCCCAGCTCCAGCAACAATGTAATGATGGTGGCACACCAGGTTTTCCTTGGGGAATTAGGGGATCTGCTAGAAACAAAGTTAAACTAAACTACAATTTTTTATTGCCTAAAATACCACGAAATAATTGTGAGAAAATACACCTAAGTATAATGGAAAAGGCTCAGAAAAAAAGTAGACCCATCTCAGTCATCCACATTTTCTTGATGTGAAGCGTTATGGAAGACCCCTGGGGTCTTGGTTCTCCTAATGAGAACGTTTACAATGGTTTACGGACTTTGAATAAAGGCTTTATTTCTTGTGGCTTTTGAGATAGAGCTTTCTATTGTTGTCTTAATGGAAGTTGCTAAGTTGCATATATGTACTGACAAGGACGAAGGCTGGAATTTCTGTTGCATGCTATTGTTGCTACAGTTTATAACTTGCATCAACTATTATACTGCCGACTAAAATCAGTGTAAAGGGTTGAGGCACGGCTTGTGGAATTTAACTGATGAAGCTTTAACACTATTTTGTCTACCTGTTTAATCATACATAATCCACACAAACAAATTTTTAAAAGACTTTAGAGTGATAGTCGTATAAGCAGTCTGTTGTGCTGCCAAGCCAATCAAGATAATTTTCTGTGTACTATGCAGATATTGGAAGTGGATGTAGTTTGAATGTACCTAAAAGTGTTAACATGAATTATTAAATTGCATCTATTAATAGCATGGAAATTTTTATCTGTATCAGGTCATGGTTGTGACCACTGCAGGACTGGGTTTTCTTTGTTTATATACTATATATTACACAAATTTTCTAAAAAGTGTTGTCTTACTCTGACTTTATTATGTATGACTGAAAATATTAAAAATACTGCTTTTGAAAAGGTTTGAGAATGAGTTTTGCGGGTTTTTTTTCAGGTGTGTGCAGCTCACATTACTACACATATGATGCATCTCTTCGGATTTTAACACTGTTCAGATACAACAGTTAATTTTTCTTTTTGTCTCAGGAGAAGCTAACCTTCCTCCATAGCTTATACCAGCGTTTGGTAGCAGGCTGTGTGCTTATAAAACAACCAGAAGGCATCCTAGACAGATTCTCTTGGTCTGAGCTTTGTGCAGTCTTGCAGGAGAATGTTGATGTCCTGATCTTAGACCTCAACAGGGCTAATGAGAAGGTAAGTGTCCTTAGGCACCAAATACCTCTATTAAATTCAGTGACATTTGTCCACATCACAGTATCATTAAAAAGGACTGACATTCATCTTATTTCAAAAAGAATTTGGACGTTAATAATTCAATACCATTAATTATGGCTTGTCTACAACTCAGTTTGATGCCATTGCTGTGGGCATGTAAATGTGACTGAAGTCTGTATGAAGTCTCTAAGCTCCACTTTCTGTGCAGGACATGCTAATAGTACTAGCCAATATTAGCCACAGGGACCTAATTAAAAGAAAATAAATTAATCTTACTGATGAAGCAATTCAAAGAACTTAGTCATTTACACTAATAAAGCAAGTCTTTATTTTAGCATAAAACAGAAACAAAATGCATTTACACCAGGAACATCATCTTTAAATTATTTGTTTATGATTCAGAGGTACTATCTGAAAACATAAATGTGAGGGTTTTTTTGTTTATCTTTTGGATTATGAAATTTGGATTGAGAAATATAATAGAAAATACTTATTTTTATAAAACATGTTAATATTTGTTTAAGGGAGAAGCTGTTCTTTTCTGAATGATTGTAATGTGAATAAGCTTACATGGCCTTTCTCCCCAGAAATCCCTTCATTTTTGGGAAAGAAAAGATCTCTTTTTAAATAACTTAAACTGGCTCCACAGACTAGTATTTCTCGCTCTTCAGGATCTCAGTTCATGTTCTGGCTGCATTAATCAGGCCAGTCCTGCAGTCCAATAGAGAGACTCCGGATCTTGGCTGCCTTGACATTATGTTCTTGAGGCACAGGGAGGGAAAAGCTCTTTCAGATGTTTCTCATCTGCTGGAATTGTGACCACTCCTCTGGCCTGAGTAAGGGACAGGGCTGGTTACAGTGAATTGTTTTCACTCTGCCCATCATTTAGTAAATACCCTAGCAGTCAATGGAAATTACTAAAGATGGATAGTATGAAATAAATTCTGGATTATGCAGATTGGATGTACATTTCTGTTTTCCTTTTGAAGTAGAGGAGGAAAGGGCATGGAAGGGAAGGGAGTGAACATTGTTGGCAGTGTTTGGGGGTGTTGTGTCTTATTGTTTCTTGCTTTTTAATTTAGTATGGTTATTGAGATTGATTGTAATCTCTCTAGGGCACTTTTCATGTACTTACCAGCTTTTCAGGGGTTTGGGACAGTATTGTTACCTGTGCTGTACCTGCTTTCTGAGAACAAAATTTTTCTCCTGCAGTTCGGTGTGATCTATTTGGCAGGTATCTTTCTGATATTCTCTAGTAACAAAGTGTAGGCATGTGTATTTAGCAGTCATCGTTAGCTTGATTCAGTCCTCCATTTAGTTTGCACAAGAGCTGCAAAGTTGAATGACAGAGTGAATCTTTTCATGCTTGTTGAAAACACATCATAAGCTAATGAGCTGCTTGCGAGAAAACCATTCTGTATACTAAAATTTCCTGAAATTATTTTAATACTTAATAATATATGGAATGTCTTGGCTTTCCAATAAAACAAAAAATAAAATTAAGGGCTGTTTTTTCATTATTACTTGCAGTCCTTGCAAACTGCTAAAGGACTGGTATACTCGGATTACTAATGTAGTGGCACAAGATTTAATGCACTCGTTTCAAAAAAATACAGGAAGTGTCCAGTTCAGGTTTCCAACAAAAAAGGTAACAGATATCTGCAAGGTGGTATAAGGATGGTGAACCTGAACCCAAGGGAAATTCATTATTCCAAAATATGTCTCAGTTTTGTTGCAAGATTCAAGGAAGTAATCTGTTTTGAAAGGCTGTTACTTAGTTTTAACAAATATGTCTGTGCTTATATTAATATGTACAATTAAAGTAAAAAGGTGTTTTGAAAGGTAAAAGAATTTCTTTTTAAATGCTTGTCACACAGATATATCACCTAGAATATGTTTGTAAGAACAAATCCGATACTATGAAGGAGCTTCAACAGAGCCAGGAAGATGCTTTTAGCAAAATGGCTGAACAAATGAAAGCCCAGGAAAGCTGCTGGCAGAAACAAAAAAAGTATCTGGAACAGCAGTACTCGGGTCTCCTTGGGGAAGTTCATGCAAGGGCACAGGTATGGTGCTGTGAACTTCCAATTATATTTTTTTTCTTGTAAATATTTAATTCATTATTTCAGTGGTTTAAGCTCCTAACCAATTTAAGGTTGTTTGGCAATTGTAGAGTGTCTTTAAAATGAAAAAAAACCCCAACAATGTACTAGTATTAACTTTACTGATAATAAGAAATAAATTATTTTGTTAAAACATTCCAGAAATGAATCGTTTAATTTGGTCTAGCAGTTGCTAGTGATTTTTTTTTTTTTTTTGAGAATGCTAAAGCTCTAAGATTGAAATGGCTTATTTTAAGAATTATGTAGGGTAGTAGTTACTTTTTCAGTGTCATGCTTTGCAAAGACTCTGCAGAGTAACAGTAATGTGGTGTCATCTGGGGATAAATTTAGGTATATACATTCTGCCCATAAGAATCAACTAACAGTTACAGTGGTAGATTTCAACAGTATTAAAGGACTTGGTTATACAGATACTACAGGGAGCAGTGGTTCAAGAGTGTAAAACTGTCATCACTGATTGTTATAACAGTTATTTGCAATCTAAAATTTTCACTGTTAATTCTACAACCACAATTCATTGTCTTCACAGCCATATTCCTTTACATGTTTCAGTTAAGTGTTATGAAATACAGGAAATAAGATATGCCTTGATATTTGTGACTGCCATCTGAAACTTACTTCATCAGAAGAATGCTGTATTTGAGTCAGATTTTGGGCTTGGAAGTCTTTACAGTCTTAAAAATGTATTTATGAAGTATTCTTTAGACAGAGAAATTTATGGTAATTTCTTGGGAATGAGTTAAAATCTTGTATATGTTTTTTGCTTGATATTTACATTTCACATTGGGTATTGGCAATGCTAAAACATCCCTATGAGTGGAGTAAGTGGCCTCCAGACTTATATTAAGTTCCCTGAACATTCTGCAATTTCATCTTAAGAAATCATTGCCAACAAAGAGAGTGATGAAATGAGGAAGTTTAATTTTAATTTTTCCTTCCTAAAGAAGGAAAGAGTTATGCAATTTAGATTTCTACCTCCATGGATGCTACACACAAAAAATGTCAGTCATCTCTTTCAGAACGCTGGTGTATTGTGGAGAATTGGTGCTGTGCAGTACTGCACCGTTCTTTGGGATGGGGCTGAACCTGTCAGTCTTCTCAGCTGAACTGTGTAGACAGCAAGTAGAGCATAACACGGCTTTCTTCTGTGGAGGGTGCATTAGGTATTTCTTATGGAAAAGGCTTTTATCTGTCAGCTTGCTGTACAGGACTACTGGCTTTCTAAAAGGGAAATACTTTCTATTAGAAACATCTGGACATGTTTTCTAACACAGGTTATGTACTGTTGGAGTACAAGCTGGTAGTGTTGCAATCTAAGCAGTGCAATGTCTGTATATGTTTAGATAATTCAGCAAAACTTCATCTTACCTTTTTCCATCTTATATTTGCCTTTCTTGCCATTCAGTGTCAATCTAGGAAGAAGACAGTCTAATTTTTTCTGGATTTCTAATTGTGACTGACTTTGGACCTGCAAATACCAGATTAAACCTTTCCCTTAATGGGATCCATAGGGTCTGCGGATGTCTGCTGTTAGGGCTGTCCTAATTCTGATTGCTTGTTTTTTCTAAGACTTAACTGTCATTTACATACTGCATTTTGAGACTGTTAGCCATATGTGTCTGCAAGATCACTGCTCTGTTGGATCAGAGGTGTGCAGACAGACTAATGTTGTAGCCTTATTTCCATAGGGAACAAGGAAAAATGTGCCACAAGTTATGGAATGTGTTCAAAGGATCTTCCAGATATTACTGAGTGTCAGTGTTTACATAAAGATACATAATGCAATACTTCAATTATTTTAACAGGCTTTATTAATTAAATTTTAGAGAAAACATATATTCAATGTAAGTAGAATATAATTTGCCAGTATTCTGTATTTTATTGTAGAACTGTCGGTCTCATCACTCTAGGACATTTATTCTGTCACTACAAGGAAACTGTAGCAATTTGCTGTATTTTCTATCTGAAGATCTGAGTGTTAATTACAAGCAGTTTAATGAACTAAGCCCTTGTAGATGTCAGTTCCTTTCTGGAAAGCAAAGATGAGTGATTTTTGCTGTCCTGCAGCAAGCTAATGGTACATCCTTTTGTTTGTAACTTTGCCTTTAACCAGTGGTCCATGCTACCTTCTAGACACTTTGCCTCAGAGCTCCTGGGTTGAGACTTCTTTCATTTTCCCAGTTGTTGGTACGTGTGTGAAAGCAAGCTGAAGACTGTCGATTCAGACTCTCAGGAGTTAACTGAGAGCTCTGACTGCACAGCAATATGACTAATGTATCTTGGAAATTATTATTTTGGTTTCTTAGAACTGCAGTAGAAGGTTAGGGCTTTTCAAGAATTGGTCTCCTTATGATTAGAATGTAACACCGCAAAATCTGGAGGCTTTAGTAGCAATGACACCTGCCACTGCTTTTGTCCCCAGACAGTACTGTTCAGGATCCCTGACTCCAAGATGGGATCTATGGATGTTAATAGGCACTACTTCACAGCTGTTACTGTAGGTCAGATGGATGGTGTAATCAGAAAGCAGTTTCACTGTTTTTCTGTAGTGCAGAAATTCCCAGAGTGGCCTTATCACAGATCAGCAATAAACAAGGCACTCTATAGATAACACTCTTCTTTGTCTGTGGTCTCTATGTTGAGAGTCAATGGAGCTTAAAATGCATATCCTTTTTCCTTGTCTTTTGTAGCAAGAGTGCAGTCCTCTTGATTTGATAGTGTGCCATTTTGAAAATGCTACTATGTCTGTTCTGTACCCTCACACGGATTATTTATTCAGATTGTGCACAGTCTCATAGGAAATGTCCTCTGAATTTTAACTATCAGTTGTTGTTTGCTTATTATGTAGACATGTATTAATCTGTCCCCATTTTTTGTGGTGACTGCTTAAAATAGAAGGGTTTTGTTCTGATATGCAAAAACATGTTGTAAGAGAAAAATCCTGTAACTACTTGAAAAATGTTAATTTCAACAGAAAAATAAAAGGTTTGCTAAATAGGAAAGGGAAAAAGTCCTCTAGGGAGAAAAAAATGTTTTTTCTTTCATTGGCTTTTTTTGTTGTTTGGAAGCTTTGCTTTTGCAGCAAGGCAGGTGAATTAGCTGAAGGCTGTGGTATCTTGCAGTTGTATCAAAAGTCAGTGCAATCAATGCAAAAGGAAGAGACGTATGCGTAACTATACTGTTCCTGACCCACTGGGTCTCTTTGATAGATGTGTCTGGCTCATATACTTTAAAACATAGAAAAGAAATACAAGACAGCAATGTTAATGCTGTTTATTTAGATGTATAGGTGTATATATTTAGAAAAACAGAACAGCTGAAATACAGGAAAACCTTTTGAAGTCATAGTGTCATTATATTTCTAGTTTCCACTTCTGTTTTCATGCCAGAATAAAGGGTAAGGACCCAATAAGAAGTAGGATAAAATAATATTGCTAGTAGCACCTAATTTTTTGTTCAGCATTCTTGGAATCCACTAAGCTCTGCAACTCAGTGAGGTGTCCCTCAAAGCTCAAACTGAAGGAAGCCAGCTTGTCAATGTTTAGGAAGAGAATTCTATGTCCCTTTCAAAAACGGTGCTTCTAAGCTTTGAAGAAAACACTAAAAACAGTGTAGGGTAAGACAAAAGCAATTATAGCCAGTAAAACCAAGAACGTGTATTTTCTTAGAAAACTTTTACATTTCTGTAGTCAGAGATTGTCTTGTTCACTTTTGCATATTACCATACAACCATAAGCATAAAACCACTAAGCTTTTTTGAAAAATAAGCTGTAATTAGCCAGAGCACTGAATATTTAGTATTGCTGCCCAGCAGCCCTGTGGGGATCACACTTTGTTTACTCAGATATTGGCCTTTCACCTGTGATGGCCAGAAACCATAAGTTGTTTTCTAAATTCAGCTTACCTTTTCAGTTCCTTTCAGTCAGGCTATCAGGGTCTTTTTTTATAAAAATCAAACACTGTAAATAATGCAGTAGCATTGAAAGTATTGTACATGCTCATACTTAATTTTATAGTAGTAAAGTGATATATGAAGCCTGTAAATTGTGTTTTGTAATTAAATCTTTTAGTTACCTACTCTATTTTTGTATCATGGGAATATTTTAATAACGTTACAAATTCTTCCTCTTCCAAAAAAAAACCCCAAACTTATTTGGTCGAAGACATTCTTAACTGACTAGGGTGCATCTCTTTAGAAGCATGGAATCTTTTATTTCCATTCTAGGGATAGCTATGTATTTTTTTCACTGTGTTGTGCTTGCACAATGGAGGAGGGAGAAGAAATTACCTCACCACGTGCTTGGGACCTGTACCAAATAGCACATATGGGAATGTGGCTGGATGACACCATTTTACTTCTCTTTTGGACACTGCTAACAGGAATAACCTCTCCCCATTTTTAACAAAATTGCTTATAGCTCTAAGAGAGGTAGCTGAAGCTTAGCATAATCCTCCTTTCTTCATCATATGCATTTGTCATTGCATTTATGTTTGCCTTTTTGTGTCCATGTATGGTAACTGCAGTGTAAGCATTTAACTCAGTCTAGAGCACAAGTCTTATGAAGAGCAGCTGAGGGAACTGGGGTTGTTCAGTCTGGAGAAGAGGAGGCTGAGGGGAGACCTCATCACTCTCTACAACTACCTGAAAGGGGGTTGTAGTGAGGTGGGTGTTGGTCTCTTCTCCCAAGCAACTAGTGATAGGACGAGAGGAAATGGCCTCAAGTTGCACCAGGGGAGGTTTAGATTGGATATTAGGAAACATTTCTTCACTGAAAGAGTTGCTTAGCATTGGAGCAGGCTGCCCAGGGAGGTGGTGGAGTCACTGTCCATGGAGGTATTTAAAAAATGTGTAGATGTGGTGCTTAGGGATGTGATTTAGTGGTGGACTTGGAAGTGCTAGGTTAATGGTTGGACTTGGTGATCTTAGAGGTCTTTTCCAACCTCAATGGTTCTATGATTCTAACTTGAGCTTGTGGGTCCTTTGTGGACAGTGCCTGAAATTTATTATCTCCTTATACCACTAGATCCTGTTTAAATACATCCCTTGAGGATATTGAGGTTATTCCAATCACAGAGGTCATGCATCCAGAAGCCAGTCTCAAGTCTCTGAGGTCCCAGTGTAGTGTCTTGATTCCTGTACAAAAACTGCATGTTACCAAAAGCAGCCAGTCTGTGTGGTCTAACCTTAGTCTTAATTTTGCTACACTGGTTTACTGTTTCAAATCTCCCTCTTTGCCTATTTCAGGGCCTATAGAGGAAAAGGAGGAATGTTCTGCAAGTTGAAAAAAAAAATCTGTAATGGCATTAGTCAAAATAAAAATACCTGTATTACACTGTTATTTTGAAAACTCAATTCTGTATGAGACCTAATTAATCTGTGAATATATAAGTAGGGGGTTGATTACAAAGTAATTAAGAGATCACCTTTACTTCCCCTTTCCCAGCTGCTGCCAATCTGTCTAGGTTTATCTTCCAGAGACTTCCTCCTTTTTTTTCTCTCTCTTACACTAACTTTCTCTTCTGCTTTGGAGAGCAATGCTCTTTCTGAAATTGGATCATGTAATTGCTTATTGTTAAATCAACTAATAAAACTGTATTGTGGACCACCAGGTACTGTTGCACTCTCTGTGAGGTATTGCAGTACTAGTGGATTGTCGTCAGAAATCTGGAGTCCATTTGTAGTTGAAGATTGTGCAAATTTTCCTCCTACTATTGATTTGTTTTCATATATCTGGTTCTGTAACTGTTTGCTAGGAGAGATACTTCAAAAGTAATTATTAATAATTTTTGTTCCTTTAATGTGTTATTTGAATCTGAAAAATAAAAATTCTTTTATCTTTTGTCTAGGTGAAATTGATTTTATTTAAAAAATATATATTCTAGTTATTATTTCTTCTGATTTTGCTTGTTTTCTCATCTTATCCCAGCAATACCAAGCAACAGCAGAGAAAAACAAGGAAGAAATTTATGTGCTTGAAAAAAGACGGGAGAAATTGGCCCTTGAAAATGTTTCTGTGAAAAATACGTTAATGCAGATTCAGAAGGAGCATTCATCTCTCCTGGCAGCCTGTGCACTCTTGGCAGGGGGCCTGTATCCTCTCTATGGCCGATCGTGTGCTATGTCTTCACAAAGAGACCTTCTCCAAGATCAGGTCAACATTTATGAATCGGTGAACCAGGAGATTAGGACCCTAGTTCATGCTCTCTCTGATGTAGAGGAAGACAATCAAGATGAAGCAAAACTGAAGAAACGAAAAGTCAAAGGCCTAATTCGTGTATTCCGAAGAGCTGTGATTGCAGTTTTGGCAGCTAACAGACTTAAAGTTTTAGCCCAGACTTCTAGTTCCCTCTTCTGGGTAAATGGCTTCAAGGAAGGCATTAGTATTCTAGTTTGTGTAGGAGACTCCAAAGGCAAGCGTAATCTGTCAAGTAAGCTAATTGTTTTTTTTCTTTGATAAGTGTTATGTCAAATTACATGGTTAGTGAATAACAAATAGTAATGTTGTTATTAATAGAGTATGCAGACAAAGCTAATGACGTTTTGACAAATGCAATTTCTGGATTTGTGATTTCTGTATTTCTTGACAAATGTAAAAGGAAATGCTTAGTCTGTTAAGCATTGAAAGAAAAGTTAAAACTACACATATGAACTCATGCTGTTGATATCCTTGGCATTTACGTCATGGATTTCAGAATTAGGTGCTACCGCATCTTCTCTGTGGTAGATATCTTGTGGTGTTCCTAAATGATTGAACATCAACATTTTTTTAAAAGATATTTCCTCTTCTTTTATTAATCACTTCCAGTATTTATTTCTTACTAAAAATGCAAAAAATTGCTTTCTGATTCAGGTAAAATACTAGTATAGGATTCAAAATTTTTCTTTAGAGATTATTGTAGTCTTCCTATCCCTTTCTGTTACCAGACCAGCTTGTGCTTCCTCCTACAAGAATAAATGGTGTCAAAAATGTTTCCCAGACTAGATCCATCTACATTTCTGTTTGTGTAGTTCTGGAAGCATATTTAATACAGACTGAATTGTCCTGAAAGACGAATTAGTTTGTGGCTTATATACTTTTGGTCAATTTCTGAAAGACCTGGAGACAGTAGTGTACCTTATCTAAGCTACAATTCTATTTCACAGGTTGTGAAGAGGAACAAATTCACTGTGGTGAAGCACTCAGCTGGTTTACTAGTTCCAACCTCCTTGCTGCAATAATCAGTTCTGTCACTGAATTACAGGATGTTGTTAACAAAACAGGTAATTTTAAAAAGTATATTCTTGTAGCAGAAGAGTAAAAAAAAAATCAGCGTTCTTGCATCATTTCCATTTTTAGGATTTCTTCTAAGCTGTTCTGGATCAAATCTCTGGAGAGCTGTATTGTTGGAACAGAATAATTTTTTTTTAATTGGTCGTATGATACTTTATCATTTTGGTATATAGAAGCATGGGATCAGAAGGCTGGAGAGTGCTTCTAGAAAGCATATAAACAGTTTTGCCTGCTTTGTTGTGAGATAGAAGAAAATATCTACACCACGCCAACAGATATTTCGCTAACCTATTCTTAAAAGCTTCCAGTGAAGTAATATGTACAAGCTTCCTAGTTACTTGTTCCACTGTTCTAATATTTGAGAATTATTTTACTGAAGCTCAACCTAATCTTTTTCCATAGAGAATACCTATGTCATTTCTATTTGATCAGTGTATTTCTTAAGTGGAGGCCCTAAAACTGGCACATAGTCAGCCGGTGACATTACCGCTGCTGACTGAAAGGAAATAATATTCTGCTGTGTTTTATATGATACGAGTCTAGAATTTCCAAATCTGGAATACACTTGAGTTTAATGGATACTAATTTCATCTGGTTTGCTTGCTACCTTGTGGTTTTTGAGAGAGAAATAAAATGCTCTCAACTTACAAAATGTATAGCAGTCTTTATTTTATGACTTTACTGTGTTCCCTCTCTAAGTATATGCTTAATTAGATTTTTGTCTAGATTCCCTAATTTTCTTAGTCTCCCCTCATAGAATTCTAGTATGCCTATGGCAAATTTTAGTGCCAGTCTCTGGATATGTCACTTCTTGATTTGCAGCTGTTAAATCTATTCCTCAATCTCTTTGCAGTGAGGACTAATACAAGATCTCACTTGGTTCCTCTGTATCGCTCTCATCCAAACTCTCATCCTTAGTTCTTTAATACCTGGGAGTTTCAAAGTCCCAACAATTCTCTTAAAGAAGAAAGAACATGAATGGGAGGATATTTTATATGAATAAAGGGAAATAGCAGGACAGAGAGAAGGTGGTACATTTCCCAGAAGCCTGAACAGTAAACTGGTAGCAGAAGTCAGCCATTGAATCAGAAGTGTTTCATTTCAGTTTTGGGTGCTCTCTTCTTTGATCATCCTCTTTTCAGTAACTTAAATTTATATCCTTACAAAATGAAGTTTGAACTATATTTCAGAATATTCACAGGGTTTATACTGCAAGTGTTCCTGTGTATAGAGTGTTGAGAAAGAACAGCAAATTGAAAAGTATCAAGAGAACTTTTACAACAACATCAATGTGCTGAAGTGACTAGTTAGAATACCCTAAATCTCATGATATTTTGCTGGTATTTAAGTATATAAGAATTCTGGTGAACTCTATTTACTTGATATCTGTGCCCTCAACTCATTTTGATTTTGAGAATTAGGAAAAGCCATGCTGAGAATATTATGGCCACAGTCAGTTTGGTGACTCTTTCATAACTTATACCTATTCTAAGTAATTTTCACAGAACCTCAGGGTCTAACTGCTCGTGAATTAATTGGAATTCCATAGCTCATGAGATTAAGAGTCTCTTAAGAACCTTTGGTTCAAAAAATAAGTAACTTAAACTTTGGCATGAAATTTCTGGAATTATTGAAGTGATAGGTGTCTGAAGGAATGTATTTGAAAGAAAGCTTGCATACTTAGGAAATTATTTTATGTTCTCTAAGTGATATCTCAAATAGGTTTTAAACCTTCACACTAGCTGCACTAGCAGCCTAGAAGGCCAGCTGTATACCCTGAGCTCTATCACAAGAAGTGTTGCCAAGCAGGAAGAGGGAAATGATGTTGCCCCTCTGCTCTGCTCTGGTGAGACGCCACCTGGAGACCTGCATCAGCTCCGGGGCCCCCAAACATGGACCTATTGGAGCAAGTCCAGAGGAGGTCCATGAAGATGATCAGAGGAATGGAACACATCTTCTGTGAAAAAAGGCTGAGAGAGTTGGAGTTGTTCAGCCTGGAGAAGAGAAGGCTCTGGGGAGACCTTATTGCAGCCTTCCAGGACTTAAAGCTTCTAAGAAAGATAGGGACAGAGTTTTTTAGCAGGGCCTGTTGCAATAGGACAAGGGGTAATGGTTTTAAACTAAAAGAGGATAGATGTAGACCTGATACAAGGAACAAATTTTTCACAGTGGGGGTGGTGAAACACTGGCACAGGTTGCCCGGAGAGGTGGCAGAAGCCCCATCCCTGAAAACATTCCAGGTCAGGTTAGACGGGGCTCTGAGCAACCTGATCTAGTTGAAGATGTCCCTGCTCATTGCAGGGGGGTTGAGCTAGATGACCTTAAAAGGTCCCTTCCAACCCAAAGATTCTATGATTCTATCATTAAACGATTTTGAATTTTTTTTTAAATGTAAATATGCAATCTGAGAGGTATCTACTCTCTTCTGATCTTGAAATAATGGCTGTTCCAGATTAGACTGCACACCACAGGAGAGAGTAGGCACAAGAACGTGCTGTCTGGATCTACAATATGGAATGGTTCAGTGTCTTAAAAATTACTTGTAAATATGGCTAGGTTATGAGGAAGTTTTTAAGGCAGTTGAAAGAAAGAAAATCCAGATCACTTAGATAACACTGGAACTTTTGGGCTTGTGCACTCTGATTGGAGGCATGTTTCTTGAGCTTTTAACTTTTAAAAACGTAGTTTTGGTTTGACTTTCATAACCATGTCCCTTCACACCGTTCATTAGTTTGGTTCTCATTCCAGCATGTGTTGGAATGATCTTAGCTTCAATTTCAGTACAAGTTCATTAAAGTTTTGGGTGGTGGTTTGGTTTGTTTCGGTTTGGTTTTTTGTAAGGTTAGTTTTGCAGATTGGTTTGAACAGAATCTGTACTGAGTTAAACCAGAGAAAGTAAAGGTCAAACTTTTTGAATACAAATGCCATGAGGTGTTACATACACAAAGCTTTTGAAGCTTAGCATGAAAATTTTAGTCTTGTATAGCACTACCGAGTTCATCCTGCTAACTGTTCTATTTCAACGAGGCAGAGTAAACAAGAGCTACTTCTTCATCTGCCAGCACAGTAAGATTTAGAACTTCTCATTGTCTTTTTCTTCATTTGTTTAAGTTTAATTGCCCTTTGTGATATAGCTGTATTTGTGCTAATAATTCCTTATACATATCACAATGTTCGTAATTTTATGCGTTTATTGGAATTCCTTGATCTTTTGTGGGCAGGTACTTAAAAAGTATATACTTAAACCATATATTCTCTTCCAATGATTATAGGTACAGTTCCTTGTGGAATTGCATTATATCCTCATTTTGTCTTTCAAAGCAGTCAGTAACTTGCATCAATGTATTTCTGTGTATTTACTCCAAACTGCTCTTCATAAAAATAAACAAACATGATGATTTGCTTTTCTATTCCCTGTCCTAAAAAAGTGCCTTAAGTTGTGGATGCTGAAGTGTACTGAATAACAGGAATCCTGGTTATGAAGTGGAATTATCATTTCAAAATGCTACAACACAATTGCCTGAACTACTATTATTAATATATTTTTCCTATAGTTTAAACTGGAGGTTCTAGACATAGGGAAGGGGGCTGCCATCCTAGATACTGCACATCTGGAGAAATATTGTGTTTTCTGGCAGGCAAACAACCTTGTGTAAAATGAGATACCAGGTGGAAATACTAAGAAAAATGAAGGAACAGTAGCTCATTGACAGTATCCTTGTTTTGATATTCACCAAAATTCAGGGCAAAGGAGAGGTTTTTTTAGGAGGTTTTGGTGTCACCTTACATGAAAGGCAGTACAAATGTTCTAGTTTTAATTTTAGGTTAATTTAACTAAATGTTTAAGCTAGTGAATGCATCATGACTGGAGAAAAGAGAGAGTCTTTGAAACAGAAAGACAGGTAGGATTGGATAATCTGTGATAAGAGTTAAAATGATCAAGGTAACTTATCTTTCATGTGATCAGTAATAGAGAACCAACAGAAGGAACAGAGAGGAGCCTTGGCCAACGTAGACAGAGCATTACAATAGCAGTTTGTCCTGGGTGTGAGAGGAATAATGTGGGGTTTTTTTATTTCAAATGATGTTTTATTATTTGAAGTGCAAGATAAAAATGCTGGATAAGATTTTTAGCTTTAAAGAAATAGAAAGAG